CGATAAGCGCCATTTTTCGGATTTGCTAATTTGTAATATGTATTTGGTAATTCCAAGTGATTTTCTGACGGTGGAATGTTGGGAGAGTAAGGCGAATAAAGTAAAACTCTCTAAAACCTCCCACCTCAGCTCTTTGATGATGTTTTCGATCGGTTTTGCAACATGAGGTCAAGCGTTATCATGCAGAAGAATTGCAAAGTTTGTGCCGTTTTTGGTTTTCTAATACGACTTTTGCAAATGCATTTGCGTGACCTCGGTATGTACAATTGCGCATTTTCTTGCAAGCATTACTATATAGAATTTGCCTATACTTGTTATAAGACAGAGCTCTTTCCAAACTCCATTAATCTTAAGCACCGCTTTACTAGAATTTTCTCCTACGCGCATTCGTGCATGAGTATTAAGCGAATTTGTTCACTACGACGGCTCCACCATAGAGTAGATATAAGCAAGTTGCTTACCAAATTGTTCGTAAGAAAGTGTGCAGTTGAGCGACACCAAAACTACGTAATTTCAACCACTTTTGGTAAATTTTTCCAAAGTAAAGTTTCCGCGAATGGCGTTTTGGGGTGCAAAAGTCGTCATCTCCAAAGTCTTTCAAAAACCATCATATGACATGTTTTTGATATAAGAATATATGAATAAAATATCGTTTTTAATGCACTTTCAAACGAAAAAAAGACTTGCATCTATTTTTACTATCAGTGCCAGCAAAAAACGACGACGAAGTTATATTTGAATATATTCGTATACGTAATATATAAATATTCATATGTAGTTTATATATATATATAAATTATGTATATATATACATAGTATATAATATAATTATATTTACATACACTTTGCCACATTATTGACCCGTCTTCACAGTATTTTTTTTCACTGTGCGGATCCCAGTATTTTTAGTATTCAATCTGTGTTTTCGTCTTCATCTTGAACAGCGTAGAATACTGATTCAGCGAGTCTCCTTGCAATCTTGAGGATAATCCAGTCCAGCTGTGGCCTTCCACTCGGTGTTGTTGTTGACTGCCGGGAAGGGTTGGGGGTGTGAAGCTCGGCTCCACGCACTGCGCGGCGAGCATGACAACCACTCCGCTACGGCGCCCCATATATATATATATATATATATATATATATATAATATATATATATATATATATATTATATCATATATATATATATATATATATGATTTTCGCCATATCTAATTAATCTCATAAAATATGCCTACATGATTGAAACTGTTTAGCACTTTTTTTCTACTTTCTAGTGGAACCGGTCGAATAAGCACATGTATAACTGTAGTAGCATTTCAAATCGACGCAGCGGAATCTATTGATTTTAGGTGAAGCTGATTGTGATCGAGAGCAACAAGGAGCTGCAAAAACGTAAAACCGGAGTCGTTAAGGGCACATTGAATCCAGTTTTCGATAATCAGTACGTAACAAATCATCATAATATTGTAATTATTAATAGAACTGCGTTCCCACGTCTTAGCCCATCAGGCCTATCATCCTTTAGATGTTGGCGAATTGTTGCCAGACTTGGGCAACACTATCCACGGCCAAAAAACATACATAATGAACGAGTTTTTGGATAGTATTGTACGAGCTTCTTCTTGAATATTAACCGTTTACATCAGTTCCAAATAATTATTGGGAGACCGCCACAGTATCTCAGGTTACGGAATGTGGCTGGCTCAAGTCTGAAAAAACCATCTGAGATTGGCGCTATATCACATGTAGACAGAAGACACCCTCATTGTCATTCTTTCTTTGAAATGTTCGGATTTTTCATACAGAATTTTTTGAATTTCTATGCAAAGATAGTGACTTTTTACATTGAAATCTTTTTTGTTATGTTTCTTGTTTCTTATGCGTGCCAGGTGGAGTATTTGTCTGGCTTTATGTTTTCTAACTAGGTGCTCTTTTATACAAACGCAGATTGATCTGCCCATTGCGTCCGTTACGTATCCGTCCCTGTATGCCTTGCAAGGGATTAGGTAAACCGTACCAAATCTCATGAAGCATCGTCTCAAACCGTTCAAAGTATGCAGTTTCCCCGTTTTGCAGAAACGGGCATGCAATCGGTTACGAAGCACCTGGCGCTTCGGAGTGATATGGGTGTTTCAGTGACTGCTACAAAATTGTCCAAACCTACGTTCCTTGAGAAACGATTGATAGCTGTACATGCTTCGTTGAAATAAAGGGCAGGATAAACGCGACTTTATCTTCACAAGGCTTGTCATCTGGGTAGTCGCTTTTCCTCTATGTTAAAACTCAGGGAGCTCATGCCGTCCCTTTTGCATTAGGAATGGTCATTTTCCGCTCCATGTTTAGAAATTCCTTCTTATGCTCTCCTTTTATTATAACCAGTAGCTGTTCAAAACAAGTTTTTCACAAGTATGTGTTTGTATGTGATGAATGAGAAAAAATGTAATGAATCTGTATGTTCCCATTTCTTGTATCTCGGTACCGACTTTGTGTTATAACACTCTGGATTAGGTTGACCTAAATGTTCGAAAAGGAAGCCCACGCTTTTCAGGTTTTTCTCTGGTAAATTTTATGTATTCTAACTAACTATTCAAAATCTTGATACACTTTCCATCTCCTCTTGTGTGAAGCAGATAACAGAGCGATCATCTATGTGTTTGCAGTAGAGTGGTGGATGGATATCGATTATTGGGGTTTCAACCTTAGACATAAAGGCTACCGGAAGGCGTGAAGCCAATCTCTAATCCATTTCCAATCCTCTCATTTCTGCGAAATAATTACCGGACAATCTAAAGTGTGAATAGTTTAGGCACTCTTTAGAGAGGACCATGATCTGCCGAATCGAAAAACCATCTATGTTCATAGCTTTTTCGTGGTGCGTTAAGAGTTCGCGGATGACTCTCATTTCCGAGTCATTCGGCACAGTATAAATAGCGGTCACGTCGGAAGTTCCACCACGTACGCGGGAAACGCGTTACGCTCACGATCCAGAACCATTTGGGTGTTTTTGAGATGAGCTGGAATGTGTTTCAGCAACTGGATTAGTATCAGGGTTATAAAGCTCGCAGAATTGTCTGTAACCGATCGTATAGTATTCTCTGCGAAACGAAAAACTGTATAGTTTGCCTTAATGGAGGAAGGCTGTTGCATGAGTTGGCCACGGTGTACCTAAATATTTGTAAGCATGGGAGAATATGTAAACTAACGAAGCGGTTGGACCATTCTGTGTCCGTAGTAAAAGAGCAGATAGTTGGGAAACTCAAAGCAAAGCAAAACTCTTCACTACGAAGCACATGGAGCAAGAACATGACAGAGATCTTGGTGTAGAAGTTCAGTATCCTCGCACATGTAATCAAAACATCTGCGCGAAAAATTTGAAGCCTTTTGGATAACTATCAAAAAAAAACCAAAAACCAAATAAACCGCAAAGAGGAGTGTCTCTGATTACACGTGGCCTCGAACCAAGCTTTAGGGCTGATTTTTTTTTACCTGAGCAAGGCACATTCTTACTTATATAGGACTGTGCGGCTCGTCCCTAGTAGATAATTAGAAGACTCAAAACTATCGAGCGGTGTGTGTTTTCAAAAAAGCCCGTCAATTTATGATCCATGAATTCGTTCATTATGCTTTTCTGTCGAGCTTATGAAAGTACTTGACTAAAGGACTACGAAACACTTTGATTTTTCCAAGCTTTAAGGAAAACTTCATCAAGAAAAAGTAGTAAATTTTCCAATTTATCATGAGATTTAGTGCAAATCGATCCTGGCAATTATTTTTCCATATCCGCCAGGAAGCGCACGAACATCATCATGATATCTCTTCTTCACTGGTAATTATTGGTCAGTTGGGAGTTCCAACGATAACCACACTACGAGTTATCGAAACGGTTCCTGTATACTCGGCTGGTTCGTGAATGGGAAGGAAATTTACTGCCAGATTTGTCATCTTGCCACTTTAGGTTTCCATCAGAGAGAGGATGACTCATCATATCAGTTTACTTTTGATTCGATTTCCGCATGTAAATAGCGAACTCCTAAGTTTGTGATGAAAGGTGAACGCTTCATTGTATGTCATATTCTGGTTTCTAGAAAGTACCTTGATCTTCTCCACGATGATATTACAATAACTACTGGAGGTGGAAGTAGACTGTGGAGTGAATAAATTGGAAATATAAGTTGTTCAATTCAAGTATAAATGCATTGATGGAGTGCTGCTTTTTTTGTGGGCTTCCTGTCAACGCTAAACATATTTTCATATAAATAAACAAAGCTGCACTTTTGACTTTCTTGCAGGCTCGTCCTTTTGGATATAGCGAATCAAAACGTCTTCTTTATATGTAAATAATCTCCCATGTTCACTTCGAAACAAGTCATGGGATTGCAGCAGACCGCTTTGATACTACAGTAGTTCAAATATTTCAAAAAATGCAGTGATTGTTCAAAGCCAAGATCTCCTCAGAACTGAACGGAACAGCATGAAATGAAACTATGGTTGTTCACTCCAACAGATGGAGAAGCGGGGAAATGAAGAAATGAACAAATGATTGAATGATCAAATAGAAGCCAGATGAACACGTGATTCTGTGAACATATTCCAGTTTCGAGTTTGACGTGGACTCACAAGATCTTCATAACTACATACTCCGAGTGATACTCAAAGATGATACTAACTATGGCGCATTTAAGGCGAAACCGGTACTTGGTCAGGTGAGTTCAGTTCGAGTTTTTTTTCCTTCGATAGTTTCGTATATCGTGATGTAGAGGTTTCCAACATTTTATCTCATTTCAAAATTTTGAAGTGTTTTAGTACTTTACCCAATGATGTGGAGTACTGTGCAAAAATGACTGCGCCAGCCAGGATTCGAACCCAGATCTCACTCTTTTCGAGAGCGCATGCTAACCGTTGCACCACCGACGCTCGTTCTGCGCAGCACCCGCCAGACCGTAAATGGCTGGATTTGACAGATAAAGCGTTGTAGCATAAAAAGAGTGCTGTGCAAAACGAGCGTCGGTGGTGCAACGGTTAGCATACGCTCCCGGAAAGAATGAGATCTGTTGTGAGTGTAAATCTGGGTTCGAATCCCGGCTGACGCAATCGTTTTTGCACAGTACTCCACATCATTGGGTATATTACAAGATCATACCATCGCAAGAAGCGGTCAAATAAATGAATTGTGTTTTAGTACTTTTTTTGCATGTTCTTACCAAGCAGATTTACACTTCTTTCCTATCCCAGATCGCTAATTGCAAGCTATAAGTGAAGACCAACTTGTTATTGTCCACCATATTATGGTCACATTTTTGAATTTCATGTCACCCAACTCGAAGGGCGCGCGCGTGTAGCGCTATGGGCCCTGCAGTACATATAATACATACATGGCCGGGTTATATCGCGCGCCCAGAGATAACAGAGCCTATCATCTCTCTGAGATGGGCAGTTAGCTAGAAAACATTATGCAGGTATTACTCAATACAGCGCTGGGCCTCTGCATGTTATTGTGTAAGCCAGACAAGTACTAAGTTATCTTTTACGATGATAGTCGAATCCAATACGGATCACTCATAATCTATCAACGGCGAGAGCTCTACGCTCTTTACGAATGACCTACATTGTGTAGATCTCGACACTTTCCTTATTCGATTGGTTTATTCGCTTTCTTTACCTTCCGCAGAGTTTATTCGAAAGTTGCGTTTGGATCTGGATGCTGCTTGAGAATTTTTCTTGGGACCCACTGGGCTACTCTTGCACGCGATAGGGAAAAATGGAAGTGTTGCTGGTACCCGCTCGAGTCACTCGACGATCAACGGGACGACAGTTGATACAGGTGATTACGATAGGACTGCGCAAGATGACTGACAAACAGTAAATGTGTTACTAATTAGCAATCGTCCGTCACTTATATGGAATTTCCCGCACATCTTCGACTCTGCATCGCAACGCCTGAAACCATCGATGTAAGTAGTCTCGCAGCGTTCACAGAACAAAAGTAAGGCAACTCATCGACAGAGGAGTTACTATAATGACAGTGCTGACAATGCTTAGATTTTATTCCGTAGATTCTATTTTTCCAAATTATAGAATTATAAATTCTTTTCAATCACTTAGTGGAAAAGTAATTTTGTTGGCACACAAAAAAAAGAAAGGCAACCGTGTTGGACAAATTCATTTTTAGTGACACCCCCTATGGAATCATAATTAGCGCGAAAGCGAAGATCTCACGGTGGACTATGGGAATGTATTGCTGTAAATATTTGAATTTGTGCTGAGCAAGTCCTCTTATTCAACAAACATGCTCTGAATGTTTTTCAGACAAGATTATAAGGCCTTCGAAAAAAAGCACTTGCCACAAGATCCTATTGCCAACATATCAAACAAGAATCACTGATGGTCTTCACGTGATACGGACGGATTTTCATTCAAAGAAATAGACTAGGATTGCAGAGGTGACAAAGAGACGGGAAAGCATCGAGAATTGTCTTTGAAACCCTCTTACTTAGAATATTCTATTTTTTGTTGCATTTGATGGAGATGAGCAAGTTGCAATTTTCCATAGTGAGATGTATCAACAACGAAAGGATTCTATATAAACCTTTTCCTGTTCACAGCGCCTCTACACCAGGCCCTATCATCTGCACAAGGAAGGCACCGCGAACAAATCTTTCTACAATTATTCGAAGTAAATTGCAAACGTGAAGCCTGGCGCAGAATCTAGATTGGAAACCTTACAGCTAATCCTTGTCGACCATGACTGTACCTGTTCGGGATGAGGTCTTTTTCTTTGCCCCTGAATCGTTGAGGAACCAACCATTCGATGGCTCAAATCTCGCGATTCTAACACTTTATTTGGAATTTAAAAATGCCTTGTTATTGTGTCGTAGTAGCGAAAATGAAATCACGTTTCACCTTCCACTCATTTTCTACTCGGTTAGGAATGATGGTTAGCTTTTCAATAGAGGTTTAGTACTTATCCAATAACTCAGGAAAGCGGTAATTCTGAAACTAAATTCGGTTTGCGGAAAGTTCTTCATAAAGCACTGAAAGGGTGAAAGCAATGTTACGATTGCATCCGGAGATGTGGATGAAAGACAATTGATCGTGAAGAGATATTCGTGGTGCATCAGAGAATATTAAAAAAAAAAAGACTTGTTCTATCATTCTAAGATTTCTAGCTTTATTTTCATCTTTTGTTGCCAAATAAACTAGCGTAGTATTCTTTTCGCTTTTGCGGAGCTGTGCGGTAACTTTCTCGAAAATCTATTCTTCAAAATCGCTAAGATTGCGGTGTGAAATGATCGTGTGAAAGTGCGGTGAAAAGCCATTCATAGGCCTTAGCCGAGTAAAAAATGCACACTATAGGTGAAACGTCGTTTTATCTTCGCTGCTGCAGCGCATTTAGAAGGATTTTTAGAAATTAAACAAATCTAAGATAAATTAGTCATATTTCAAGCTGTCGAATGAGTACTAAAAGCTAATAATAAGTTCTTTTTGGAGAAAAAGGCCTACTAATAATTGTGCATCCAAGAAGGTGCACGCCGTCTCAAAAAGGCTAATCTTTGTTGACTAAAGAAAAGATCTCACAATTCTGAAGCACTTGCCAGCCTGTACGACCATGCTATAGATCCGTTTTAGCTAAGGACGCTTGCTGACTGCGACACTCGTTGTATGATGACGATGCAGCTTTTCCCGCCTCACATTATTGCAGTTTGTAGACAAATATGATGAATGAGGCGACACAATTCCTTTGGTTTTGCTAAGTGAGGGAGAGAATTGGATCGAGAATCCGACAACTGTCAAGTAAATTCAGTAGAAATACTCAGCAGCGTGTGCTGTGCCCGGAGCTTTGATGGACACAGCTTTTCAACTTAATGATCCCGACCTCTGCGGTCACTTGCTTTGGGAGCCAAAGTTCTTTTGCTTCAAAGAAGGATGCATACTGCAGTCATATCAAAGAGGTTGCTCATGATCATTAGGCAGTCGAATGCTGGCTTCCGAATATATTGCTTAATTCCATGCTGGAACTGGTATGAGTAGTTTGAGTCACTAAACAACATCTCGTTTTGGAGACTTCGATTTATACGTTGCGATAGGTATATCACTGTCATGGGAAGAAAGGGCAACAGACGGACGAAAGTTGGAATTAGCTTTCAGACTCTCAAATCACATCCGATACTGCATGCGAATACACCCATGTCATTGGGTGAAGATTACAAGAGAGCAAAAAGAGAATAAGTGCTTGGGATCACATAATCTGTCAAGACAGATCATTTTAGCACTTGAGGGATAAACTTTTTCTTGGATCAGATCCGCTCTATTATGTATGGTTCTGAAACCGATACTTTTCTCATTCGACTCGTTTTCTAACGTCCATAGTTTTAGATTCTCATTTCTGTGACATCCATGTAAGAAACTTAGGTCTTATCTACGAATGTCATGTACTGATGGTCAAGTCAGTTCTCCGTATGCGATAGTCTGTTCAGCGAAGCCGTGGTAGGGCGCAGAGTTTTCGAACCAAAAAGGACAAGGAATTTCGTTGGCCTAGTTTAGGATTGAGTCAACCGCTTGCCGCTTGCGCTTCAACTATATAATATGTAGTTATCTAGACAGTAGCATCAAATTTCGTTTTCATATCTTTTGTGGTGACAATAATTAATAAAGGATGAGCCAAAATGATGGCGATAGCTTCACTATCACTGCATCTTGGTGTACATTTCAGTTTTGACTTGGTATTTTTATCTAAATTAGTACTATTATTTTTAGATCGACATCCGGTTAGGCATGTTGGATGCCAACACACTTCCTCAACAGTGGGTCCAGTTAGAAGCCGAAAAGACTTAACGAGTTTGATAGCCATTGCTTATTTGTATAATGTTAAATCGTATCCTCATGCCTTTTTCTAATGACTGCCATTGAGACGAAGCTTTTTGTAATTACGGATGTGTAGATGTGTTGCTGTTGTCACTCTGTAGAACTTTGCTTCATTACTTATTCTTCCTTGGATTTCCTACACCCGGTATGATTTCGACTGCCCATAGATGACTACCATGAAGCGACTTTCATCGTGAGATTAATAGTGACACAACACACTGTAGCGCTCAATGGCACCCAACGACCCATGCAAATCACAAGTGAAATCGCCAAACTGCCTCATCAAGCGGTCAAGCTGATCGTCCATCCAGAGCTTGGGAAGGAGTTTATTATTTGAACATATTTGTGTAATGTTTCGAAATTGAATTAGAGATAGTTTGCTAAGATGGATATATTTATGTCAATTATTTGCAGTTACCACTGACTACAGAAAACACCTCAAATTTGTTAGTGAAAATTTTCATTCGGTGGCCATTTTCATTTGAATAAGGTTGCCTTATTATCCCTCATTGGCATCATCCTGAGTTTCTCTTTTTTATGCCCGTGCTTTTTTTTACTGTGCTGTAGAAATTGTCAAGGCACCATTTACATAGCGCGTTACTCGTCTACTAGTTTTAATGCAGTTTGTACCTATTGAACTTTTCGAGCTTTCGTAGGAATTTGTAATAAATTTCCAACATTCCTGAAAATTTCCTCTCATAGTTTGACTTGACTCTAAGGTTCCAAAGAATTGTTATTAGGTAGCTAGTTTTTGCTGTTTACCTAGTTGAGTTACTCATAAAGAATGGAGTGGACACATGAGATTGTGGACTTCTATCAGTCCATTTGTGGAAGTAACGTTAACCAGCTTCGCGCGGGCAAACGGAACTGGTATGGTTGTGCATAGCGTCTATGCCATTCTTAGAAAGACTGTGAACTGCCTTTTAATATCTCGTAATTGAGTTTTACCTAACATATTCACTGTGTACCACTATGTCCGGCGGATCTAATTTTTCATTCAAAAATTATTTGTTTGATGAACCATTAAAACTTCATATTCAATAGACGGTTTTGTCGTGAAGAATCAAGAAAGTACATTAAGTGTTTCTTTGACCATTATTCGTCAAATAATTCTAGTGCTATTCCGTCGACTACCGTGTTATTCCATTATTTGCGTACATTTGTAAAGTTGACCTTTGAAAGTCATAATAAATATGACACGAATATACTTTTTCGTAAGATTATCCTG